ATAATAAGCCAAGTTATCCTGAATTAATATATTTAACTCTATATATTTTCTTACCTGAAATGACCTAAAACCTACCTATTTATATTATGTATAGGTAGAGGTCAATTTTAGGTAATTTTTTTTGGAGTTAAACTTAACGTAGATATATGACCGAACCTAACCAACCCTACCTACCTAACCTTTATACTTTAGGTTAGGTTACCTAGCCGAAAAAAGATAGGTTAGGTTTGGTTAGGTTAGGTCGGTCATATATCTAGGTTATTTTTACTCCAATAAAAAAATTGACCTCATACATAATTAGCTTTATCATTTGAAAAAAAAAACTTGGCTTAATTAGGCAAATGGCTTATTAGGCCTTGCATAGTAGGCAGAGAAGTGCGTTCTGGCTATTAGGTACGACATATATATATATATATATATATATATATATATATATATATATATATATATATATATATATATAATGTCGTACCTAGTAGCTAGAACGCACTTCTCAGCCTACTATGCAAGGCCCGATTTGCCTAATAAGCCAAGTTTTCATGAATTAACGTTTTTTCGACTACCTAACCTACCTAACCTAACCTAACTTTTTCGGGTACCTAACCTAGCCTAACCTATAAAGATAGGTTAGGTTAGGTAGGGTTGGTTAGGTTCGGTCATATATCTACGTTAATTTTAACTCCAATAAAAATAATTGACCTCATACATAATTAAATGGGTAGCTTTATCATTTCAAAAGAAAAAAAATAGAGAAAATATATTAATTCAGGAAAAATTGGCTTATTAGGCAAATCGGGCCTTGCATAGTAGGCTGAGAAGTGCGTTCTGGCTACTAGGTACGACATATATATATATATATATATATATATATATATATATATATATATATATATATATATATATATATATATATATATATATATATATCCATATTCATATACAGTATATCCATATATATCCATATTCATATACATCCATATCCATATATATCCATATGCATATATATATCCATATATATCCATATCCATATACTGTATATCCATATACTGTATATCCATATCCTATATATCCATATCCATATATCCCTTTAGGGTATTCTATTGCAAACAATTTGATACCAAAATGGAAGATGTAACACAAAAATGGACATGACAAAATTTAAGAGTACAGTACAGTATACACATTTTGGATCGGTTATGTGCTAATGAGATATTTGCATAATATTCCTTTAGCAAATTCTATTGTGAACAATTTAAAACCAAAATGAATGACGTAACACAAAAATCAAGATGAGAAAGCTGCAAATAGTATAAACATTTCAGTGGTTGCATGCTCACAGGTAATGCTTGGCCGATTTTCGGGTTTGCTGCAGGTGACACGCCAGGCTTTTTGACCTTATATGCATATATACCTTTAGAAAATTGTATTGCGAACAATTTTATACTAAAATGAATGATGTAATATGAAAATTCATGTCAGAAAACTTAAAATAGTATAAACATTTTAGTTCGGGTGTTGTGCATGTGGATGGGTGCATGCTCACGGGTAATGCTCGGTCGATTTTTTGGTTTGCTGCGGGTGGTACACCGGGCATTTTGACCTTATATGCATATATCCATTTCGGGAATTCTATTGCAAACAATTTTATACCAAAATGAACATCACAAAAATTGACATGAGAAAACTAAAAAGAGTACACACATTTTAGTGTGGGTGCGCACTCACGGGAAACGCCAGGCCCACCTTGGGGTAGGCTGGGCCGCGCACGCCAAGGACATGAAAGTGTTAAAATAATAGAAAGAGCCATTTCAGCTGCAAATTGGAGTAGGTCTAAATTATTTATCAAATTATTAATGGCATTCAACTGTAGCATGATTGTAAGAATAAAGAACCTTATGAAAAAACAGATACATGAAGAACAAAACTACTGGAAGCAGTATAAGCCATTTTCTTAGCCAATATGACATGAGACCCAGAAGAGTGAGGGGTAGCGACAAACCAACCAGACTTTACCTGACAGACTTTGAAGAACCACTTGGAAATGAGCGACTACTATGTACTGTACTAGCGATAAACAGTTCAGAAAAATGCTAAAAGGGTAGAAGACTGATGTACCAAACTGGAAATTATGAGGGGAATAAGAGAATTTCTATCAAGAGTACTGAAACAACTCAAGAGGGAAGACCACACAAGGTCACAATGAATGATGAATTTCCTCACTAAGAGTTGATGGGTAGCAGTAATAACATGGTTTCTGTCCAAAAAGGGACAATAACAAGCATAGGATTAGTCTGGTTTAACCAAGGGTGTAAAAGGATGCACTAAGCATAAACATAAGTGCATGAAAAAATTACAGGAACAATATAACAAGAGATCAGAGAAAAATACCAGATGGGCAAAAATGAATGCTTCAGAGGGAGAAGAAGAGAGACAATTTGATAATGTTATAGCAAAATATATCCAAAGATCCAACTGAAGCTGCTCCACAGCCACACACACACACACAGGAAATAACAGTAAAAGAACAGGTGATGAAACTGAAGATTAGGGCAAGAAGACATTTACAAAAAATGACAAGGAAGTATGTAAGGAAGACCAAACCACACATCAGAAGATGATAATGGTCCGGGATGGACCAAAACGTTGTCGTTTATTCATCTTCTGATGTGTGGTTTGGTCTTCCTTACATACTTCCTTGTCATTTTTTGTAAATGTCTTCTTGCCCCAATCTTCAGTTTCATCACCTGTTCTTTTACTGTTCTTTTACTTGATAATGGTCTAGGATGGACCAAAACGTAGTTTATTCAAGTCATGTGTGACTTGATAGCAGTCCAAGACAGAAATCCTCTGATGTGTAGTTTGGTCTTCATATCTTCATCCACGTTATTGTGACCCATCGACAGCACAAGTATGCATGAACTCAATACCTGAAGTATTCAACATAAAGCAAGGAAAAGTGCATGAGCTGAGAGGGATGGTAAACCAAGTACAATAACAGAGATGAAGTAAGAAGGTACCTGCTGGAGTTGGACATGACTAAGGCTGAGAGAAGATCTCAAGATGGATACCGAGAGGTGGCTGAAGCAAGCACCATGCTGGCCGCTTACTAACAAGCCATTGAAAAGAGGTGAACTACTAGAAAACTGGAAGACACTTAATATGCAAAATGGGAGGAACAAAAGTATTTTAAACTATGAGCAAGAATCTCAAACTACGTTTGATACAATTTAGTAATCCCATGTTTATGTTGCTTAATAATCTTTTCTATAATTCAACAACCTTGCACAATGAAATCCCAATAATGTAACGCATCTATGGTAAAATATGGCAGATACACATCAATCATGATCCTTATTACTCTCAGCATTTCAAGATAATGTAAATTAAGGTTCAAAAAGCTCTCTTTATAAGAGAAGTTTCTAATTCCTGGGATTATCATTGCTATTTTTCTGTGTAATTTTAAATGGGGCCCAACATGGTCAAAATGAAGCTAAAGGATGACCCAAGATGTTGTATTCCTAGCACTTATTGTTGTAACCTATCCTATTCATTTTGAACATTTATGCATTGAAATCTGGGCTTAAGATCCCTACTGATAATGGCACCCAGAACTTATTTGCAATTAAATTTGTTACTTTCAATAGTCACCGTTCATCCCCCTAATTGCACCCCTAATATAAATATGACCATTTTCCTCAATACTGCTTAACATTGGTAAAATCAGGGCTAACAAATTCTAATTCACATTATATTAATGTATTAATATATATTCATAAAATTATAGATAGTAAAGTAATTTTGAAAAATATTTGAACAAAAATTGCTCTGGATGTTCTGGATGACAAAATGGTGCTCTCTTACTAGGCTTAGTGTTGCTGTTTTGGCTATTAGGTGTGGGACTGACAAAAAGAAAGACAAATATGCACACAAAGGTACCGAAAAAATGTAAGAAATTTTCTTTGGCGTACAAAGTTGTAAACTGTTGGAATAATTTAAATGAGGGTGGTAGATAACAAAAAAACTGAAAGTTTCAAATCACCATATGATAACGATTATAGGGAAAATGGGATACCACGAACATTGCTCTCATCCCGTAGAGCAGGATGAGTAAATAATCAATCACTTAATCACTTAAGTAATCAATCTCTTTCCCCCACACAAATTCTACATCAAGGCTTCAGAAAATAAATATTTCCCTAATTACTTCAAGAAAATGCTAATATACACTGCTAACATGACAAGTATCTAATCTGAGGATACGTAATAATAATCAAGATCCAGCACATACAGTAATAACTGCAAGACATTCTTATCACTATAACTTTCAAGATCCAATACTGGAATTAGCTCAGAAATTAATTGCTAAAAATATAATTAACATGAACCCAGTTGAAAAACCAGATTAAATACTTAAAATTTACTCCATGCCAGATCACAGCAACTTAGACCAAACTACGACATAAAATACATAAATAATCATCTTGTAAGACATTAAATTTTCTATAACCTGGATCAAAAATAAGGAAAAGTATGTAAATGTCATGAACAAGCACATGTATGCTATATGCTTATTGCACTCGCACCAATGAAGTGTCGTGTACTGTCATGTAACCACACAAAAAGTAGTGAGATACTTGAAAGTGTAATTCTAAGTACTGTGAATTAATACTGTACATACACAACAATTATACTGACATAAGCCTAGGAAGAAAATTAAATGAGTGATTATAATATGCTGAATGGAGCATCATTTTCCTTGTTATTAAAGAAAACACAGTAAGGGTCTCAAATCAGGGATTAACACACGAGAATCAAATTCATAGTCAAATATTTGGCTGGGTATTATATTTGGCTAAGTATTATATTTGTCCGCATTACTCTTTAATTTCAATGGTTAATATTAACACTACTGTATTATGAATTTCAGTTTGCTAAAGTAAGGGTATTAAACAAGGCAAGTGCACACGAGAGCTGGGAGTGTGTCGGTGACAGGGACATACACTGGCTTGTGACTGGAGGATGATGGTAGCGGGACGTGCGGCTGCCGACGACACCATCACGGACCTCACCGCGACCGTGCCAGCCTGCATAATGCAACACAAGAAACACTATCAAGCATGGGACACACCAGAGAGAGGGAGAGATGGAGCGAGGAGTGAGGGAAAGAAGCACACAGTTCTCAGCAACACTCGCTAATCCATTATCAACTCATTGATAAAATGTTTCTTCAAATTCAGAACAGTAGTTAAATTCAGAGTACATTCAGAGCAGTTAAGTGCAGAAATCTTGAAAAGATTTTATGGATTGTCGAGGTTGGAGGAACATAGTGACAAGGGTGCACCTAGGCCTTCTAAAACTGATAAAGCAACAATATCAACAAACTCAACTAGGTGCACACACATATGCATACATCCACATGATATTAAACACACTAAACACACACATCAAAATTTGTCATGCTTCAAGGAATTTAAGATAATTTGGAAAATATGGTTTCCTTTATCTACACATGTAAGAAAGGCTTTGTTATAAACAATGTCAGCTCCATCACAACTCTCTCCAACACTTAAGATTATCAACATTAGGTTAATTGAATTAAGCAAATCTACTAACATTTCTTAAAAGAAAAAATATATGTAAATAAAGAAATCTTAAAATTTTACTAACCTCTTTCTAGTTTTTAGTGAGAAAAAGTACATACCTATAATTTCTCCCCTCTGACAAAAATATTACCAGTATAGGGAAAAATGCCAGTAACTGGAAGATGATGATATTATAATGCAGAATTTGGCTTCCATTAGGAATTCTAATTTACATTAGATGTGGTTCAATCACAAGAAGGCAATAGAGAAAGGAACTGCTAATCTCTCATGCCAGCATCTCTCACAATACAAACAATATTATGAAATATTCTTAAAAATAAAATACAAACTACTACATAACTAGTCAATAAAATTGTTTTATGTAACTGAAATTATCACAAGGGGCATACGAGCTGAAAATTGAGAGTATGTAGCTTTTATTTTTGTCACTGGAGAGCACAGAGGCACAAGTGCTTTGATTCTTCTTTACAGCTTAAGAGTTCTTCCTACCACATATACTTAAAGCCTTACCTACACGTCTTCCCAGAGCACGACTCTAATTATTGATATTCAAGTTCAAAATTATTGCCAAGTATGCATGGGACAGAAGAAAGAGCAGGCAAGAGGGAAGGAGGAAGGAAGAGGATGAAAAGATGGGGGTTGTATAAAAAGGGGGTTGGAAGAAGAGAAGGAAGGGGAGTCAGACAAAGTGGAAGCAAGAAAGGTTGGGTTATGTGAGTAAACACTGGTCGCCATCAAAATAATAATATTCTGTACAGCACCACCACCACTAACCCATATCCTGCATGCAGGGGTGGAGAGGCATCAGTGAAGGAGAAAGTACACCAATATAGGAACAAAAATGTTAAAGTTGCTCACAAAGACACCCATCCATTCACCCCTATCTTCCTCATTACAAAGCTGACACAGCATCACATAGAAACCACAACTATCACTAGCAAAATATCTACAGCAGTACCCCACTGCTTTATAAAAGTACTGTAGCCAGGCTCTACACTGTAGCTCTATACAATGTAAAGTGATTTCTGTGAGTTGTCTTATAAAAAGGTTAAACAAATTTCAAACATTCACTCTCCATTTAACAAGAATGAACATTTTCACTGTGCAGTACTACAGCATAAGATGTTACCAAAACCATATACAGAACAGTACATACGCATGTTAAAGCCATTTAATAACACTCGAAATATCAAGAAAAGTCTTAAGGTCCCCTATGCTCAATACTAGCAAAATAAAAATAAAAATCCTGCAAATCTCATGATATAAACAGCACAAACTAATTGTGCTTTCATCTTAGCAGATCATGGAAAGTACAGTATTCTCAGTTTCTCAAGCAATACTGTATAAACAGTATGAAAATTCTTGAAGTGAAAAAATTGCCTTCCCCACCTTTATATACTGTATGAGCTGGGTTATCCGAAGCCTGCTGAACCTAATATTTGGTTATCCAGGAAAAATCTCGTTCGGATAATTTTCTGCCAAACTTCACCATATCAGGACAGATATCCGAAGATTAGGTTATGTAAATTTTCAAGGACTACACATTTTAAAATCTACAGTATGAAACAAGACGAACTACAACAAGGCAATCTTGAGGTTATCTTGAGATGATTTCAGGGCTTTAGTGTCCCCGCGGCCCGGTCCTCGACCAGGCCTCCACCCCCAGGAAGCAGCCCGTGACAGCTGACTAACACCCAGGTACCTATTTTACTGCTAGGTAACAGGGGCATAGGGTGAAAGAAACTTTTGCCCATTGTTTCTCGCCGGCGCCCGGGATCAAACCCGGGACCACAGGATCACAAGTCCAGCGTGCTGTCCGCTCGGCCGACCGGCTCCCGCTGAGCTGAAGTCTCCGTTTTAAATTATATTTTTGATTCATAGTGTGTGTGGAAATACAAATTATGTTGGCTGTGGTATAAAAAATTGCAAATATGGTAATTTTTGGACTTCCTCTGTAAGAATTCTGCTTATTTACATGGCTGCCTTATCCAGTGAAGGGTCCTTCCCATACAGTTCGAAAAAGTGAGCTTAGTACATTAAAATATAGACATACAGGTGAAGGCAGGGCATGTTGGTGGACTTTCCTCAAGTTTGGAATTTACTGACCTTTACACTCCACATCTCAATATTCTCATTCCTTACATTTTCCTAACACCACACATGCTACTCAGATATTCCATTTCTGTTGCTCTAACTCTTGGCTTTTTATGGTCATACCACACCACCACTTTGCAACCATATATAGGGGTCGGCACTTGCAGTGTCAAGCAGCCCGGCAGCCACATCTGTTCTTTTCTTGTTTATTTTCTTAGCAGGGCTTTCATTGCACCATCCACACACCATCCTGACTGTTCAATTGTACAAATTCCTCCTTTAGCAATCACACATTTATGCTGATTGATTACTTCCAGCACTTCACTATTGATATTTATTTCAAACACAATTTCTTTCTTGCCTCAACATTTACTTCCCTCTTGTCTATATTCACTTTTTTCTCTCTCGCAACTCAATACAAATTTTAAATAGTTTACATAACTCAACACTTTAGTAAGAGAACCATCATCAAATATATACTGTATATTGAATAAACAGGGTGACATCACACAATTCAAACATACACAAACATTAATATCAAGCCAGTCACTCATTTTACCATTAACTGTTACACACAAAAAACAAGCGTTGAATGTAATGAAACCCCATTTTCTGGGTGAGATCCGGAGGCTCCCTGGAGCTTTCGGGTTAATATGTGATACAATTAGACCAGGGTTTTAGTCAATGAAGTTCTGCCTACAAGGGACCACGAGCCAGAACTTGGCCCCCCCTCAGAGAGGTGCAGGAAGCAATGGCCCTGGAAAACTCCCTTGTGGTTGGGGGTTTACCTTATATGAAATTGACGGGGGGGTTGGCACCCAGAAAGGTAGGCTTAATAAAACAGACCCCACAAGGTAAAATAAAATGCAAACAAAAGTCGAACAGAGAGGTAGAGCTCCCTAATTCCCAAGGAAATGAGCAAACATCACACTGCGCTGTCGCATCGTTCATCCGCACAGCCCCCCCCCCCCCCCCGCCCATCCCTGGAGTGGAAGGGAGCAGCCCTGGACCCCCCGCACCGATTACCCAGCAACTCCAGTTCGAAGGCTAGCATCAAAGCAATGCAAAACCCACCGACCGGAGGGAGGGAGGGTGCCAGGGAGCCTCCGGGGCTCACCCAGAAAATGCCGTTTCATTACATTCAACGCTTGTTTTCTGTGGGGAGCCCCTTCGGCTCCCTGGATCTTCATAACCAAGGACAAGTAAAAGTAAAAAAGGGACACGTTGACTAGACCACACACTAGAAAATTAAGGGACGATGACATTTCGGCCCGTCCTGGACGGGCCGAAATCCTCAAATCGATTGTGTCCAGGATGGACCGAAACGTCGTCGTCTCTTCATTTTCTATTGTGTGGTCTGGTCACCATATTTCAGCCACGCTATTGTGACTCATCGCCTGCAAAAGAGGGACACATCCGGAAGGTGGCTGCCACACGCTCCTCAACTCGAAAGCAAGACTACTACAACTTGCGACTCAAAACTACTGGCTACAACTTGCGACTCAAAGCAACACACAAACGTCTTGGGCATGAAGATAGACCACAGGCTGGCTAGACTTAAGACCCCTGCAGATGACCAAGGAGACCCAAGCCCTGGAACAGGGAATAAGGGAAAACCGGATCAACCCAAAAAGCATCCCCAGCCACAGAAGCCGAGGCTCACAAGAAGCTGTGAAGACCCGCAACCAGACAACACACGATGCAACCACCGGCCTGACCAACCAAGCATTAATGATCCAAGGACCCTTCCGGAAAGCAGACGTCTCATTCTTCGCCAGAAAAGAAGGACAAAGCTGCAACTAACAAATCGACTACCAGGACTGAAGGAGCAGAAACTCCTGCGCTGGAGGAGAGCATGAAGCTCACTGACCCGACCCCCAAAGGCCAATGCCAACAGAAAGAAAGCCTCGGAAAACATTCTTGTACCGAAGGGGCCACTACGAATTGAGAAGACAGATAAGAGAGAGAACCCTGTCCAAGGATGAGGATGGCGCAGGCGGCACATGAGCAGGCCGGAGGTGAAACAAAACAGGAGAAAGCTTACGGAATGAGGCAGAAGTGACATTAACCCTGAACGCATGCTACAGCAGCTCTACCAGCACCACATGATATGAGGCGACAGTAGTAGGCATTATATGATGGTATTGAAAGCGTCAAGACAGAAAGGACAAGACATACCAATCAGAGACAGAAGACAACCTACAAAGAGAGAAAATGGCAGAAAGAATGTCAAGAAACTTCAAACTGTCGCCAAAATGAAGTTTTCAGGTGGGACACCTTCAACAAAGCCACCTGATCACCAAACAAATGGTGAAAAACCTGTGACAAAAAGACCATATGCAAAGAGCGGAGAAGACCGAACCAGTCATGTACCGGACCGATTCGAG